AAAGAATATATGTACCCCCATGTTCATAGCAGCACTATTTACAATAGCTAAGATCTGGAAACAGCCCAAGTGTCCATCAGTAGACAAATGGATAAAAAAGCTGTGGTACATATACACAATGGAGTACTATGTAGCTGTAAGAAAGAAAGATCTCTTATCCTTTGAGACTACATGGAGGGACCTGGAAAGTATCATCCTAAGTGAAACAAGCCAAACAGAGAAAGACAAGTATCATATGATCTCACTTATTTGTGGAATATAATGAACATAACAGTCTGAGGAATGGGGTAGTCCCAGAAACGTGGAAGCGGGGTACAGACTGACAATCCCCAGAAGAGGGGGTGGTGGGGGAGAGATAAACCACAGAACTTTTATGCATGTATGCATGACCAATGGACATGGACAACAAAGCTGGGAACAGAGTGGGGAGGGAGGAAATCAGTTGGGGGAAAAGGAGAAACATCTGTAACAAAAATAAATAAATTAATATAAATAAATAAATAAATAAATAAAAGTAGTGCTACAAAAGTATAGCATATTAGTATCTACCCATCTGCCATGGCTCATTAGTAAATTCCCACATGAACTAGGGCATTCTCCATCTTCATTGCAGCCTGTTAGTGCTCCTCTAGTGTTCTCGGATATTATAGGTTGCTAAGCAATAATCCTAGTGCTTACACTGACCCCACTGATATGCAGAATAGAAGTAGATGTGTGTTTGGTTACAACTCTAGTCAAAACATTTCTGTCTTAAGGCCATAACACCAAGAAAAGAAAAGGAGGTACAGCAATAGCAGGGTCAATAAATCAGGATTCTGAACAAGCCTATACACAACTGTCTTTTGATTGAGTGATTTCTGAATTCAAGGACCATGAAATACAGCACTGCCCCAAGGACAAATTAATTCAGAGAGTCTATTGAATATAGTTTAAAACAGGTACTGGGGTTGTTTAGCAGGTCTGTGCTTGGACATTCCTAAACCTGTTACAGACAGATTGATTCATTTATATATTCACTCAATAAATAATACTGATGTCTCGCTTTGTGCCCAGCACTATGCTAAGCACTGTTAGGACTGCATTCCTAAACTCTTCATAGAATTAAAAGCCTTTCAAATTCCCCCCCAACATGCACACCTTCACCCCTGTATAAATCCACCTTGTAGCATGCAAAGACCTATTTATTTTCACACTATGGCCATAAATGCTTTCAACTAAACAACCAGGGACACAAAGAATTCCTTATTCATATTTTGAAAGGTCCAGCTTTAAAGTGACTTTTATCATTTCCTGCACTTAGTGCATGGCTTACTGCTGGGCATGGCCTTGTTACAACCCTATTTAAGGATATAAATAGGAATGGATCATAATTCACATTATAATAAGCCTCAGTAGACACTTTCTTCACAAAAAGGCATGTAACATTAGTGGGACTGGCTCCTGATTAAATTGGTGAAAATTGACCCAGCTGGGCTATGCAACTAGATGTGTGATGTTCTCTTTAAACACAGACCCTGTCTGAAACTCAGCTTGCTTGGTCTTATCAGGATTTCTTAACATTTCTACTTAACATAGAATGGCTACTGTGAAAGTGGAGAAAAAGGAGCACTATTAAATACTACTAGAATTAAATTCAATAGCTATAGGAAAAGGCACAAAACTTTTTAAATCTTAGGCTGTGCAATGAGAACAGAGCTGATAAGTTGATAGTTAAAAAAAAAAGATTTTTCAAAATGCAAGTTAAGTTCATAGCCTATAAAGTAAAATAATTAGGGTAAAGAAATGAGAAATTCATATGGTACATTTAACCACAATATTTTTTATGCAAAAATATGTATTTGAGCACATTCTTGGAGCTGCCTGGCAAGATAACATTATTTTGACAAATATATAACAAGGATAAAGACACTGCCTTTGGCCCTGGCCAGTTTGGCTCAGCCGTTAGAGCACCGGCCTGCGGTCCGGAGAGACCCGGGTTCGGTTCCCGCTAAGGGCATGTACTTCGGTTGCAGTTTGTCCCCCGCCCTGGTTGGTCGTGCGGGTGGCAGCCACTCGATGTGTCCCTTCACATCGATTTTTTCTCTCTCTCTCTCCCTCCCACTCTATCTGTACAAAAAATGGAAAAATATCCTCGGGTGAGGATAAAAAAACACACAAAAAAAACAAAAAAGACACTTCCTTTGACTTGTTGAAATTGTAATAACAGTTCCTTCTCCCATTTCTTACTGACTTTCATACACACACACATTCAGAATATTAGGTTTAATTGTGACTGATCACTGAATAAATTAAGTACATTGCATTGCATTTAATACTGCAACAAGGAACTGCACTGTTTTCAGTATATGTCATATTCTGGCATGAATAGACTTACACAAACAAAACATACTTCCCTCTACTATACATGGAAAAGCAATAACAGAAAGTGAAAGTACAAGACCAAGAAAGACCAAAAAATCTTGATTGATATGCTTTCTAGAGAGGCAATAAATTACATGAGGGAATACATGTGTGAAGTTTTACAGATGCAAATTTGGCCATAAGATTAACATGAACACCTAACTAAATTTATAACAAATTACCTAGATCACAGTTCTGTTTGGCATGATTAAAATGAAAGAGTTCATTTATAAACTTGGCCCAAGTGATTAAGGTAAAGGTAAATTATATGTATGATGTAGTTGTGGTGGAAAGGCAAAGTATATGTATGATATAGTGGTGGTGGAGTGTGAGAGTGAGAAGGAAGTGAAATCAAGAAACTGGTATGGGTATGAGGCAGAGAGAGGTGGAGAGAGACTTGCAAGGACACTTTTTAAAAGTTAGCGATGCTGTGAAAATTGTACTGTACTAAGTTTACAATAACAGAGTAAGTGTTGGAAAGTTTGTTTCTTAATGCGTACAAATTAAAATGTGTATTAATAAGAAGAAAATGGTCAATCATTGCTTAAATTGGTTAAAAAGACAGAGAAACACTTCAGAGAAAAGTAAGCGCCTAAAAGTTATAACTAGCATCTACATAGCAATTTATAGTTTGGAAAACACTTCAATAATTATTATTGTAATTCAGCCTAGCACAGCATATTACATACTAAACATTCAATACTTGCAAATTAAATTGAAGGGACTTCAATTAATTGAAATATAAGTTGTAAATATTGTAAAGATTTTCTGTCATACAGGATTTCACTAAGTATCTGAAATTAGAAGAACTAGTCAAAGGAATGAATGTCTTGCCCACTATTTGTTGCCTTCTTGATCGTATAAATTTTCAATCTGCATGATTACGTGAGATTTCGGTTAAGGATGGGGCTAGAAGTCAGAATAAATGTGTGGTCAAGTACAGGAGTAAAAAGAAGAAATAGAAAAACAATGGACAGGCCTAATCACTATGGCTCCTCATTTTATGTTTGTATTAATGGGTTGTCTGTTACATGTGTCAGTCATAAAATTACCTTAAAAATATTCACAGATGTTAAAAGGAATACATTTTTAACTATTTCCCAAACTGTATTTAAAGTATACCTAGGAGCCCTGGCCAGTTTGGCTCAATGATTACAGCATCGGCCCGTGGTCCAGAGAGTCCAGGGTTTGGTTCCTGCTAAGGGTGTGTATCTCGGTTGCAGTTTGTCCCCAGCCCCAGTTGGGGTCATGTGGGTGGCAGCCAGTCGATGTGTTTCTCTCACATTAGTGTTTCTCTCTCTCTTCCTCCTTCTCTCCCTCTCACTCTCACTCTATCTGAAGATGAATGCAAGGGTGTCCTCAGGTGAGGATCGATTACATAAATAAATAAATAAATAAATAAATAAATAAATAAATAAATAAATAAATAAAGTTTTCCTAGGATTATATTTTTAAAGGGCAAAATCTTGAGGAATGTATTCCTAAGAAAAACTACATAAGCCCTGGCTGGTTTGGCTCAGCAGTTAGAGCGTCAGCCCGCAGACCGTAGAGTCTCAGGTTCAGTTCCTACTGAGGGCATGTCCCTCGGTTGTAGTTTGTCCCCGGCCCTGGTTGGGGTTGTGTGGGTGGCAACCACTCGATGTGTCTCTCTTGCGTCGATGTTTCTCTCTCTGTCCTTCTCCCTCTCTCCCTCCCACTCTATCTGAAGATAAATGCAAAAATGTCCTCAGGTGAGGATAAAAAAAAAAGAAAAACTACATAAATAGTTTTGTTTTGTTTTGAATCTCTCCTGAGGATATTTTTCTATTTATCATCAGCTAGGGTAGGAGAGAGGGAGAGAAAGGGAGAGGGAGAGAGAGAAAAAAACATTGATATGAGAGGAACACATCAACTGGTTGCTTCCCTCATGACCCAACCAGGGCTGGGGATGAACTACAACTGGGGTACCTGCCCTTGACCAGCATCAGACCCGTGACTCATTGGTCTGCAGGCCGATGCTCTAACCACTGAGCGAACTGGCCAGTGCTACATAATAGTTTTAAATTCTATTGTGTAGAGCAGCAATTTTCATCCTTTTTCATCTCATGACACACATAAACTAATTACTAAATTCTGGCACACCAAAATATATATTTTTTGCTAACCTGACAAAAATATAGGTATAATTTTTAAAAATATGTTTTTATTGATTTTAGAGAGAGATGGAGAGATAGAATCATCAATGTGAGAGAGAGACACTGATCAGCTGCCTCCTACAACCCCCCCCCCCCCCCACTGAGGATGGAGCCCACAACCTGGGCATGTGCCCTGACTGGGAATCAAACCAATGACATCTTGGCACATGGGACTATGCTCTCAATCCACTGAGCCTCACTGGACGGGCAATATAGGTATAATTTTGACTCATTCACACCAGATGGCTATTGTCATTCTGACTGTTGTCATTTTTTCAATTTGCCAACCTAAGGGAAAATACATCAGTGCCCCTGACTAAATAGTCAGGTATTGAATGTTTGAAAAAATTCTTGTGGCATACCAGTGTGCCTGCTTCGGCATACTGGTTGAAAATCGCTGCTGTAGAGGGAAGGCTAGTTCTCTACCTTGGTATTTCACTTCATTTGTTGCTTCTTCTTTCCCATTTTTGCCAGTATCTAATGCAGAACTGTCCCGTGGACTCTGGGAACTCTGAAAAGAAAAAGAAACATTTCAAAATGAGTTGCTCTTATTCAAAGTTGCATCAACACTCACAATTAAAGAATGAAGATAAATGCCTTGTAGGAGTTGCCAAACATTCCTACTTAATTTTGATAGGATTAAATGCTGCATACTGGAAGCAATGCAGTAATCACAGACTGTTTACTGCATTCACAAGATAAAATGTATTGGCTCAATGTGTCATCATATCTTCCTATCGCTAACAAAGTAATATGCTAAGAATATTATGCTACATGTACATTAATCTTTGAATTATACAATACTTTCTAGAAACATAATTTGATACCATAGCATAATAAAATCAGACTTTTGAAAATGTTACTTTCCTTTACTATTGGAATCATCTTCCATGTTTGTGGTGGAAAGAAAAACATTTCATCTTAATTGAGAAAATTAAAGGTTAGTTTCATGAATAAATAGTGGCAAATAGCTTTTTGTACTTATGACAATGTACTTTTTTTTTTTTTAATCCTCAACCGAGGATATTTTTTCCATTGATTTTTAGAGAGAGTGGAAGGGAAGGGAGAGAGGTGGAAGAGAGAGGAGAGAGATATATCGATGTGAGAGAAACATATCAGTTGCCTCCCCTTTTTTGTAAAATGCTTTCTCATATAAGTCTTGTATTTATTTAAACACAAAGTTACTTAAATGATTAACATGAACATTACAGAATGATCATGAAATTACCCTAAAAACTAGTAGTTATTATACTTAAGATAATGATTTTGATTTTAAAAAGCAATCTTTATGACTTCCAGTCAAGATGGCAGCGTAGGTAAACGCAGTATCACATCCTCCCACAACCACATCAAAGTTACAACTAAACTACAGAAAAACCATCATTCAAAACTGCCTGAAATCAAGCTGAATGGAAGTCCTACAACTACGGAATTAAAGAAGCAGCCACATCGAGATTGGTAGGAGGGGCGGAGGCGGAAGGGTCCCACACCCATGTGTTGCGCATAAAAATCAGAAGGATACCTCAGCTGGGAAGGTCCTCTCTGAGGACTGAGGGATCCCCATTCCCACACCAGACACCCCACTCAGGGTTCCAGTGCCAGGAAGAGAAGTTCCCATAACTTCTGGCTGGAAAAACCAGCAGGAACTGAGGCTGAGAGAGGCTGAGGCTACTGGAGCCCCAGGCAGCTCCTCTTAAAAGGCCCTCGCATGGACTTATTGGACTCACTCCCTCTAATTGGAGGGGAGGCAGCTTAAGGGGTGCCAGAGATGTACAGGGAAGAACTGAGCTGTTTGGCATTGGAGCGAGGGCTGGAGAGGGGGCTTTCTCCAGATCAAACCTGCTGTCAGAGGCCTTTGTTCCTTTGGTGAGCCCTGCCCTGGGGCGGCAGAAAGCCGCCATATCTGGGACTCCAGCAACCTGGCTCATACTGGTTGCCCCACCCTGGTGATTCCCTGAAGCCCCGCCCCACCCAACTTTCAGGTCCACTCAAGCTGTTGCCAGTTGCTTTACCATAGGATTGGCCTGTCTTGGATCCTGCTTCAGGTTTTCCTAAATTCTTTCACACAAGCAGCATCTGGTCTCAGCTAGCCCCATATCTCTCATTAAGTAATACATAGAAACAAACACAGAGAGGCAGACGTAATGAGGAGACAAGGAAAGGTCCCAAATGAAAGAACAGAAAAAATCTCCAGGAAAAGAACTAAGCAAAATGGAGATAAGCAACCTAACAGATGCTGAGTTCAAAACACTGCTTATAAAGATGCTCAATGAACTTAATGAGAACCGCAGTGAACTTAGTGAGGGCCTCAAGAGCATAAAAAAGGAACAGTCAGAAATGAAGGAGGCACTAACTGAAATAAAGAATAATTTAGCCCTGGAAGGTTTGGCTCAGCTGTTAGAGTGTCAGCCTATGGTCCCGAGAGACCCGTTTTGGGTTCCCACTAAGCATGTACCTCGGTTGCAGTTTGTTCCCGGCCCTGGTTGGGTCATGCAGGTGGCAGCCACTCGATGTGTCCCTTTCACATCGATGTTTCTCTTTCTCTTCCTTTCTTTCCCTCCCACTCTATCTGAACAACAGCAACAAAAAATTGAAAAATGTCCTCAGGGGAGAATAAAACAAACAAATAAATAAATAAATAAATAAATAAATAAATAAATGGAATAGTTTACACAGATTCAATAGTAGAGTGGATAACGCCAAGAAGCAAACCATCGATTTGGAATATAAGGAAGCAAAAAACACCCAATCAGAACAGCAAAAAGAAAAAAGAATACAAAAAAATGAGGATAGTGTGAGGAGCCTCTGGGACAACTTTAAGTGTGCCAACATTCGCATCTTGGGGGTGCCAAAAGGAGAAGAGAGAGAACAAGAAATCGAAAACCTATTTGAAACAATAATGGCAGAAAAATTCCCTAACTTGGTGAAGGAAACAGACATACAAGTCCAGGAAGCACAGAGAGTCCCAAACAAGATGAACCCCAAGAGGCCCACACCAAGACACATCATCATCAAAAATGCAAAAGGTTCAAGACAAAGAGAGAATCTTAAAAGCAGCAAGAGAAAGGCAGCTAGTTACCTACAAGGGAGTTCCCATGAGACTGTCAGCTGATTTCTCAAAAGAAACTTTGCAAGCCAGAAGGGAGTGGCAAGAAATATTCAGAGTAATGAAAAGCAAGAACCTACAATCAAGATTACTCTATCCAGAAAGCTGTTATTTATAATCGATAGCCATATAAAGAGTTTCCCAGCCCTGGCTGGTTTGGCTTAGCGGTTAGAGCATCGGCCTGCAGTCCAGAGAGACCTGGGTTCGGTTCCCGCTAAGGGTGCGTACCTCCGTTGCAGTTTGTCCCTGGCCCTGGTTGGTCGTGCAGGTGGCAGCCATTTGATGTGTCTCTTTCACATCAATGTTTCTCTCTCTCTTTCTCTCTCTTCCTCTCTCTCCCTCCCACTCTATCTGAACAAAAAATGAAAAAATGTCCTTGGGTGAGGATTAAAAAAAAAAAGTTTCCCAGACAAGAAAAAGTTAAAGGAGTTCATCACCACCAAACCGTTATTATATGAAATGTTGAAGGGTCTTTTTGAAGAGAAAGATAAAATATATGAACGAGCCCTGGCCGGTTTGGCTCAGCGGTTGGAGCGTCGACCTGCAGTACAGAGAGACCCGGGTTCAGTTCCCGCTAAGGGCACATACCTCGGTTGCAGTTTGTCCCTGGCCCTGGTTGGTCGTGCGGGTGGCAACCACTCGATGTGTCCCTTCACATCGATGTTTCTCTCTCTCTCTCTCCCTCTCTCTCCCTCCCACTCTATCTGAACAAAAAATGGAAAAATGTTTTCGGGTGAGGATAAAAAAATATATATATACATATATATATATATGAACAAACAAAATGGCAATGAATACATATCTATCGACAATCGAATCTATAAACAAAATGAACAGGCAGAACAGAAACATTCTCATAGATACAGAGAACATTTTGTTGGTTGCCAGATGGGAGCGGGGTTGGGGGAATGGGTGAAAAAGGTGAAGGGATTAAGAAGAACAAATTGGTTGCTAGACTGACAAACCTCAAAGAGAAGGGGGTTGGGGGGAATAAACTAAAGAACTTTTATGCATAACCAATGGACACAGACAACAGTGTGGGAAAAGGCAGGAGGGGGTAGGAGTGGGGAGGAGGGGGTTAATGGGGGAAAAAATGAGGAACTCCTGTAATACATTCAACAATAAAGATTAAAAAAAAGAAAGCAATCTTTATATATAATTCATAATAGTTCTTCACACATAATGTGTCTATGGAAGCTTCCTGCAACTGATTTAAATGAGTCAGCTTAATTTTTCTATTTGCCATTTTGTTTATCTGTTTGAATACCCACATCTTTCCTTTTCTTCTTTTCATAAAAAAATTAATTTGTCCAGTTTACTCTCCAGCATTAACTCTACCTTAATAGGCTTACTCACTTCAGTTGCTTCGTGTTCACTTTCTTTGTCTTCTTTTCCATTTTCCTAAAATAGAAAAAGTGTTAATAAGTGGTTTACAAAAGGAACTGGAGATAAACAAACATCTACTCTAGTACAGTATGCTTTTTATGTTAAAAATTTTCACATTATGAGTAAACTTCATACCAAATAAAATCACACCAAGTAGTTATATTAACAAATTCAAACAGTAACAGGCTCATTAATATATGAGGAATGTCAACCAACTAGAAGCAGGCCACTGCTTCTCAGTTGACCTCTTTTTTGTAGCATTTTTGTCAAAACCTGATGCAGAATACTTTAACTAAAAAGAGAAATAATTAAATGATAGAATATATTTCATCTCAATTCTCCCAAGAAAGATGAATTTCAAATACTCTCATGATTATATGGTTAGGAATCTATTTAGGCCAGGTACCTGAGCAAGTTTGGGTTCCTCTTTAGATGCTAACTTACTCATCTAGATCCCTAAAAAATATCATCAAATGGTAAGGGAAGGTATTACCAGACCATAATTAATAACAAAAAGAAAGAAAGAAAATGTTCATAAACAACAAAAAGTACACTGAAAGATCAAAATGTCCCCCAACCCCCACCACGTCCCACCATTCTATTGAATGGTAAGTTCTCAACTGCTAAATTTTTCAAACTGTACTACTGTTATTACTGTTATTAATGGCCAAAGTTAGATTAATGCTAGGCTAGTGCTCAGGGAGACAGGAAAAGTCACCCCAGTAACCATCACCATTATCATTAAAACACATACACACACGCACACAAAAACAGTAATGCAATTTGAATTTTTAAAAACATTATTCTCATTCGCATTAATTTTTGAAATAACAATCAAGATGATGTGAAATGGCCTTGGCCGGTTTGGCTCAGCAGTTAGAGTGTCGACCTGCAGATCAGAGAGTCCCGGGTTTGGTATCTGCTAAGGGCATGTACCTCGGTTACAGTTTGTCCCTGGCCCCGGTTGGGGTTGTATGGGTGGCAGCCAGTCGATGTGTCTCTTTCATATTGATGCTTTTCTCTCTCTCTTCCCCCCTCTCTCCCTCCCGCTCTATGTGAAGATAAATGCAAAAAATGTCCTCGGGTTAGGATTTAAAAAAAAAAAAGATGATGTGAAGTGAAACTTTGATGCTACCTAATTTATGTGAGAAAAGCTGACAGATATTAGAATAATAATCTCACTAAAAAGTATTTTTTTTTTGGAAGGGGCATTCTGAGAGGAATGTGATTTACCTGGCTTATTTATTCATATTAAGGAATTAAAATGGATAATTACCAGGTCTCTACTTCATTGCAAATGACTATATATTCAGTCACAGATTATCAAAATCACTTCTGTGCCAAAACTTATTTGAGTTTGTGTATAGCTCTGGCCAATATGACTCAGGGGATAAAGCATCAGCCCTCGCACCAAAGGGTCTCAGGTTTGATTTCCAGTCAAGGGCATATACCTGGGTTGCAGATTCAATCCCCAGCCCTGGTCCAGGCCCATTTGGGAGACAACCAATTTATGTGTCTCTTTCACGTCAATGTTTCTCTCTGTCTCTTTCTCTCTCCCTCTCCCTCACCTCCACTCTCTCTAAAATTCAATGGAAAAAATGTCCTCAGTTGAAGATTAACAACAACAAGAGTTTGTGTCTATTTAGGCTCTGCGCTATGTAAAAAGTAACTTATAGTCAAGGCCTCTGCTTCTAGGGCAGTTACAATCTAGGGATTCTTTAATCTGAAATGGTATGCTGATAATGTGCTACAGTATTTGCCTTTTTATCAACATAACACATGTTCTAGTTGAGTAAACCCAAAGTACTTGCTTTGGAAACAACAGATTCCAATACTTAAAAGTAGCTGCCTCAAAGCCTTTTTGAAGCAGTTCATAAATAACATAAACTAGATTTCTCTGATAGGTCCCAATAGTACATTCTCACAGACTGTTTTCTTTGCTTATGGTGTCTAACTCCTGAATTGCTAAGAAGCATCCTTCCATTCTTTAAAAATCTGTTTTGTTTGGCTGTACCCAGATAAATTCAACTTTATTGGGTGTCTTCTATATGCAGATAGACACAGAGGTTAAAAATATAAATAAGACCTGCCTTTGAAGAGTTCTCAGTTTAATGACGGAAAAAGGAATAAACAGATGCAATTCAATCTGCAAAGTGCAAAAAGTAGAGGTACATACAAAATGTTAAGGAACACAGAGGAATAAATAATATATTTCTCCAGAGAGATTTGGGAATTTTTCACAGAAAAATATTTTTTCAAGCTGGATTCAAAAAAATAATAAGATCTTTTTGTATAAAGGAGTGGGGAAGATTATTTGAGACAGAAAGAACAATATACTTACAAGAGGATATGAAAGCTCAAAAAGTGTTTGAAGCATTCATGTAGCAGAGCATAGTTATATAAAAGAAAGTGGCAAAAAATGAGGCTAAAAAGTGTCAACCAATGGTTGTTGGTGCCAATTTAATACCAACAGGAAGCCCTAATTTGGGGTGCAATGAAGGAAACTTTATTCAGTGCAAAACAGCTCAATTGTGATACAGAACAGCTGTGAAAACAGTGCTGAAAAGCAGCTCAGTAGGGTTATAGCTCAATTATGAAGCTGGAGGCTGTGAAACAGCATGGCTGTGAAGAGGACCTGGGGCAAAGCAGCCCTGGGGCAAGGCCTCTCTTAGGCTAAGCAGGTCAGCTCCATCTGCTTCAGTCCACACTGCTCTGCCTTGCTCTGCTCCTGCACCAGTCTGCTCTGCTTTGGGGAGACATTCTCCATGTTTTAGCACCAGATGGGGAAATAGTCTTCAGTGGAAAGGGAAGTGCTCCCACAGCCAAAAAGGAGCTGTTTTATATAAACAGAAGATCCCTATCTGGTCCATCTACATGCAGATGAGGACTCCAAATCTTCACAGTTTGATTGGTCAAAAAAGCACTGTCCTGATTGGGTAGAACAAAGCTGCTCTGATTCAATGGTGAAGATGTTGATGGGGATATAGCTGCACAGCTTCAGTTGAACAGGGGAGCCTCAGTCCTATTGGTCGAAACAGGATTTCCGGAAATGCATTATCATGGCTGGTTCAGATGTCAGAAACAGTGCAGGAAGGCAGTTCAGTGCAGGAGAAGGCAACTTAGTGCAGGCTTCTCCCTGAAGTGCTGTTTGCATGAGAGGTCCCTGTTTAGAAATGGCTGCTAGGCTCTGTTTTCTTTCTTTGTTTAAGCCCAGTTAAGCCACTAGGAGCCCTTCTTAGTAGGTATCTCTTTCTCAGGGTCCACAAAAGGTAAATTTTCAGTCCGCAAAATTATTTATGCTAAATCAAGGAGTTTGGACTTTGTTCTATCTGTGCTTTTTAAGCATAGTACAGATGTTATCAATTTGTTATTTATTTATTTACTTATTTATTTATTATCCTCACCCGTAAAACATCAACGTGAGAGAGACACATCGACTGGTTGCCACCCACATGACCTCAACCGGGGGAGGGACAAGCTAAAACCGAGGTACGTGCCCTTAGTGGGAACTGAACCCGGGTCTCTCTGGTCCACGGGCCATCACTCTAACTGCTGAGCCAAACCGGCCAGGGTAAAATTGGTGTTTTTAAAAAGTAAACTCCAGCCCTGGCCGGTTTGGCTCAGCAGCTGGAGTGTCAGCCCGAGAACTAAAGAGTCGTGGGTTCAATTCTGGTCAAGGGCATGTACCTCAGTTGTGGTTTGGTCCCCAGCCCGGGTCGTATGGGAGGCAACCAATCAACGTTATCTCTCACATTGCTATTTCTTTCTCTCTCTCTCCCCCTCCCACTCTATCTGAAGATAAATGAAAAAATATCTTTGGGCGAGGATTAAAAAAAAAGTAATCTCCACCAGCAAAGACTGGAAGCATGAAAGACAGTGGGTGGGTAGTGGGGATGATCAAAGTAAAATGTTGAACCTGAGGTGAATGCCTCACTGCCCCTCACTTTCCTCTAGTCTAGGCTCTGCTAGACATTGTCAGTACCCTAACCATATCCCTTCAGCTTCACCTTGACAATACATGCAGATAGTTTCTGATTTCAAGCATCTGTAATTCTGTCAGAGGGCTTCCTGACAGTCCAAATGTGGGACAGGCGAGAAGAGCTTGGAAGTTAATATCTGATAGGAGAAGCTCTCAGCCATTAATGAATAGGAAGTTGCATATAGTCTCACAGGTGGAGCATTTCTGAGGTATGTTCTATACTATCTCCCAGAGTTCCCCAGTGCGATTGCGCTTCAGTTGCCCACAGTAAAACCTGCTCAATAATGAATGCATTTGATACCTGCCCAATACTATAGGCTTCCTTCACTTCCTGTATTACTTCCTTACTCCCTTACCATTGTTTTCTGGGACCACCTCCCAAGTGAACTTCAACATCTTAGATCAAGGTCTGTTCTGAGGGAAGTCAAACAAACAAACAAAAAAAACAGCTACAATGATCAGGACTGTGGCATAATTGGATCTAAGTAGTGAAAGAGGAGGTTAGTTAAGGTTCACTGAGTGTTTTTTTGTTTTTGTTTTTTTCATGTTTGTAAGGGTGAATGGATGATAATGCCATTTATTGAAATAAGGAAAGGAAAGAAAACAGGTTTGAGTAATGATACAAGTTTGGACCTGGCTTGATAACCTGATAGAAGTTTCCAGTAAGAATCTGAATGCTACTGAAATATATTATGATGCACTTGCAGGAAATGATACAGAATCAAGTACACTGGGAAATGATGGAGCATTGTCCAGTCTGAACATAGTTAATTTGCATTTGAATTACTCAAAGTGTATAGCATTCTGCACACCTCACATTCCTACTCATAAGATTCTAGAGTCATTTAACTTAAGTTGTTGGCTGTGAGCTAGCCTTTTTAAATCTAGTTAAGGACTCTCCACACACACTCCCAAATAGATTTGTAAATGGTGAATTGCAGCATTTGGCATCTTGGTTGGGAAGACTGTCAGTCATACATTAAAGAGTAGCCAATTATCCTTGAGGTTTTCCAACATAAAAAATAAATCATACATTATTCTGATTACCCAGACTACTAAAAGATATGTCATTTACCTGGAATTCTTACAAGTCTTGATCCTCTGGGTATTGACCAAAAGATGTCATTGTAGGAGGATGCTAGTGGAGCTCACCCAATAAGACTAGCTAGGAGAAGAAGAAAAAAAAGGATGAAGGTAAACCCTTGTTAATGAACACTTAAAAGTAAAGCTCAACCCAGTCAGTGTGGCTCAGTGGATTTAGCATCATCCCATGGACTGAGAGGTCCTGGTTCAATTCCTGGTCAGAGCACATGCTCAGGTTGTGGGTCAATCCCGAGTAGAGGGCAGAAGGCAGCCAGTCAGTGTTTTTCTTTCACATCGATGTTTCTATCTCTCTCTCTAAAAAATCAATAAAAACATATATTTAATACAGCTGAGAAAGAAGAGCTAGTGAAAGATTATAATAACTGCTGAAAATGGCAGGAGATTCCTGTAGCTGTGCAAACGCATACCACTGGCCTGACTCCTATTAGAAGCCTCTACTGCTGTGCACACTCCTGCTGCAAGCCCTGGCAGCTCCACAAGTATATTACAACAGCCAAGGCCCCCACAATTGCTTATAGGCCTGGATTTGACCTTGACTCCCGTCATTGGTCTGCATTGGCTCTGCTCACCTGTAGTTAACCCTACAGTTGTGTACCTGCAAGGTAGGTACCTGCCCCAACTCCCATCACTGGCCTCCACTACTGAACACGTGCCTGTAGCTAGCTTCCAGAGCCACACTAGTTACACAGTGATAGCCAGGGCCACTGCAGCTACCTGTGTACATGAAGTTGGTCCTTGCCCCTGCTGCTGGTCATGGCCATCATCACTGCACATATGTCTACCGCCAATCCCTGTGTAGCCAGTCCCTGCAAATAGCCCTGCAGATAATTGAGTGCACACTACTATTTCTAACCACCACTACCACCACATAGTGTAGTATTGTTAAAGACCCCAACAGTCCTTATAGCCACTCTGAACTTCCCGTAGCTCTTACCAATGATTATACAGTTTTTGATGTCATGGACCCCAGCTTTCCTCAGATGACCAGACACTAATGTGCCCCCAATTTAGAGGTACTACATTTTCTCACACTTGGTCTGTGCACCACTAGACCTAGGCTCACAGCATGTTCCAGCATGCCCCTGCTCATGAGTGAAGGTCTTTCCTTACCAAAGTCAGTCCATAATATCTGGAAGAGGTAATTGCTTCTTCAAATGCACAGACACCTACAAAGGCTACAGGGATCACAAAGAATCAAGGAAAGATGATACTACCATAGGAACACAGTAAACTTCCAGTAATGGACCCCAAAGAAGTGAGATTCACAAAATGCCTGACAAAGAATGAAAAATAATTGTTCTGAAGATGCTCAGAGAACTATAAGAGAACAAAGATGAATAATTTAATGAAATAAGGAAAACAATACAAGAATGAAATGATAGCCCTGGCCAGTTTGGCTCAGCAATTAGAGCACTGGCCTATGGACCAAAGAGTCATGGGTTCAATTCCAGTCAAGAGCACATAACTTGGTTGCAGTTCGGTCCCTGGCCCTGGTTGGAGTTGTGCAACCAATTGATGTGTCTCTCACATTGATGTTTTTCTCTCTTCCTCCTTCCCACTCTGCCTGAAAATAAATGGAGAAATATCCTTGGGTGAGGATTTTAAAAAAAGAATGAAATGTTAAGTTCCACAAAGAGATAGAAAACATAAAAAAGAACCAAATAAATTTTGAGCAGAAGAATACAATGATTGAAATAGAGTTCAACAGAGACCTTCAAAAACACACTAGACCAAGCAGAAGAAAGAATCGTGAACTTTAACTCAGATCATTTAAATTATCCAGAGGAAAACATTTTTTTTTAAATGTAGAGGAATGAAGAAAGCCTTTGGACTTATGGGACACCATTAAAGGAAACAATCTATACATTATGACAGTCTAAGGAGAGGGAGAAAGGAGCAGGGAGCTTATTTAAAAAAATAATGTCTGAGAATTTCCCAAATCTGAAGAGAGATTTAACATCCAAGTTCATGAAGCTCAGAGGTCTGCAAACAAATTCAACCCAAACAGATCTTCTGCAAGACACATTATAATAAAACAGTGAAAAATTAAAAACAAAGAAAGAGTCTTGAAAACAGCAATAGAAAAGAAGCTTGTCACTTACAAGTGAAGACCATAAAATTATTAGCTTATTTCTCAGCAGAAATTGTACAGGCCAGAAGACAGTGGGGTATTATATTCAAAGTGCTGAAAAAAAACTTCCAACCAAAGTTATCCCTAAAAATGAAGGAGAGATAAAGTCTTTCCCAGACAAACAAAAGCTGAGGGATTTCATCACCACTAGAATATCTTTACAAGAAATGTTGAAAGTTCTTTAAGCTGAAATGAAAGGACACTGATTAGTAACATGATAACATATAAAAATATAAAACACACTGATAAATATAGTCAAATTCAGAATACTCCAATACTATGATATGGTGGTATGTTACTCACTTAACTCTAGTGGAAAGGTTAAAGGATAGAAGTATTAAAAATAGCAATAGCTACTATTATTTGCTAATTCATATACAATATAAAAATTTGTAAATTGTGGCATCAAAAACATAAAATGCCATGGCCTGTTTGGCTCAGCGGTTAGAGCATCGGCCTGCAGTCCAGGGAGGCCCGGGTTCGGTTCCTGCTAAGGGCACGTACCTTGGTTGCAGTTTGTCTCCGGTCCTGGTTGGGTTGTGTGGGTGGCAGCCACTGGATGTGTCCCTTTCATGTCGATGTTTCTCTCTCTCTCTCTTTTTCTCTCTCTCTCTCTCTCTCTCTCTCTCTCTCTCTCTCTTTCCCTCCCACTCTATCTGAACAAAAAGTGGAAAAATGTCCTCGGGTGAAGATTAAATACATACATAAATCAATCAATCAATCAATCAATCAATCAATCAATCAATCATAAAATGTATGTCGGGGGAGAATAAAAGTGTAGAGTGTTTGTATGTGATTGAAGTTATCAGCTAAAAATAAATTATTGTATATATTAGATGTAAGCCTCATGTTAATCACAAAACAAAAACCCACAGTAGATACACAAGACATAGAGAGAAGGGAATCAAGCATACCACTATGGAACATCATCAATTCACAAAAGAAGGCAAAAGTGAGGGAGAAGGGAACAAAGGAACTATAAAACAGCCAGAAAACAATAAGATGACATTAGTAAGTACTTACCTATCAATAATTATTCTAGCTCTGGCCAGTTTGGCTCAGTGATTAGAGCGTTGACCTGCGGTCCAGAGACCCAGATTCGGTTCCCGCGAGGGGCGTGTACCTCGGTTGCAGTTTGTCCCTGGCCCTGGTTGGGTTGTGCAGGTGGCAGCCACTCGATGTGTCCCTTTCACGTCGATGTTTCTTTCTCTCTCGCTCTTCCTCTCTCTCCCTCCCACTCTGTCTGTACAAAAAAAGTGGAAAAATGTCCTCGGGTGAGGATAAAAAAAACAAAACAAAACAAACAAACAAACAAATAATTATTCTAAATGTAAATGAATTAAATTCTCCATCAAAGTGCATAGAGTTGCTGACTGGATTACAAAAACAAGACCCAGCTATATGCTAACTACAAGAGACTCACATCAGCTTTAAGGACACATATAGGCAAAAGTGAAGGGATGTAAAAAGATATTCCATGCAAGTGGAATCCAAAAGAGAGCAGAGGTAGCTACACTTATATCAGGCAAAATAGACTGTAAGCCAAAAACTATAACAAGAGACAAAGTCATTATATAATTAATATTAAGGGCACTATTCATCAAGAATTGTGAGTTGCAGAATTATAACATAAATTGAATTCCCAATCTAGCTAAGTTACTCATGTGAAAATTAGGGAAGATTAGGAAGAAGGGGGACCCTGAAATTTGGAATGGGGGTGTTTAATTGGACTAGGAAACTGATAATCTCAAACTCCTGAGTCACTCTGAGCCTCTTTTGCCAGTGGAAGCAGTTTGTACTCAAGTATTTGTGGAACCTAGCCATCTCTTAATTGAAAACTTTGTAATAATCACATCTTGGGCAATAGCCTTGCAGGGGGATGCCCATTTTCCTTAAAACTCACCACAACCACCTCTTCTAGTAAAATCATAACTAAAATCAGATCTTAAAGTGCTCCAGTAGGGCAAATACAAAGACTGACAAGGAGGAAAGAGCTTTTACAGCAAAAGATGTTCACTATTTGCTTATATAATGGCAGAAACCCAGGGAATATGTGTGATAGCATATATATAGTTAAAGCAAGGAGCACAGAATATAATACTGGTTTGGTTAGAATTTCTTGATATGGGTACATTTATCAGAAATTAAGGATTTAATGAGTTAGCATCTATAGCTGGGAGTGACACTAACCAATTGGTGAGTTCACTGAAACAGACTCCATAGTGACCTATGTTTATTTAAGTTGAGATACCAGAACTTCCCTGACATAATGTAAGAAGATCCAAAGGCTTATTAGGGAGATAGGAATGTTGGAGTAGATATCACATATGACTTGCACATCCACTACCCCCAAGTATATCTTCCTAGAGGACTCTGGGGACATTATTAAGGCATTGAAAAACACATTAGAGAGTGAGAGTACTTGCATCCTTGAAAAGCTCTATGATGGCTTTCTTCTGTCAGCTAGGCATGATGGGATGATCCATTTCTAAGTAACAGAAGCCAATGTCAGTGTTTAACCACCAAAGACAAGGTGGGTACATTCACCATAAAGAGAAGTATAGATATAGTGGTAATCAGATATTTTAACCCTTAGTGATCTTTGTGACTAAATGACTATGGTGACCTTAAGAATAAAATAGATGGTCAGCTTACTAAAATGTTGATCATCTACATATATTAAAAATCCACACACGGTGGCCAAAAATATTACTTTAGTCGCCACAGTGGAAAGTTCAGACCGCTTACCCAGTTTCCAACCCTAAGCCCCCCCCCCCCCTTTTTTTTTAATCCTCACCCGAGGACATTTTTCCATTTTTTGTTCAGATAGAGTGGGAGGAAGAGAGAGGGAGAGAGAGAGAGAGAAACATCGATGTGAAAGGAACACATCGAGTGGCTGCCACCCGCACAACCGACCAGGGCCGGGGACAAACTGCAACCAAGGTACGTGCCCTTAGCGGGAACCGAACCCGGGTCTCTCAGGACCGCAGGCCGACGCTCTAACCGCTGAGCCAAACCGGCCAGGGCCTAAGCCCCTTAATTGAAAGGAAGGCTAGATCCCCGTAAGGGAGAATTCTGCAGCACTGTCATTAATATATACTGAAAATCTTCCTCTAAATCTTCTCCACAGGGACGTCTGGCAATTTCCTAAAATAATTGTGTGGTAGGGAAAAAGAAATATCTAGTTTTTTCCAGAGATTTCTAAACATTGGCACTAAATTGATGTTAATTCCTGGGGGTCCCAAATGCCACTGCAATCTACCAATTTAAGTGGGGACTTGTGGTGAGACAGGTGAGAGACAGTCTTAATTCAAGTTTGAATCACAGGGGACCAAGTAGGTCCACAGAACCACTGTGTAATGATTTCATGAGTTCCTGGATGTATAATTAAAATAGATACTTGGTAGCTGGCAGAATTTCCATATTGGCTCTCTGATCTTGGAATATGAAGGGCCAAGTTGAAGACCGTAGAAATCCCCTTCCCCCACATGCACACATACCAGAGGAGTAAACAAAAATTATTGCTTTCTTGGGAGAGCAGGATGGGGGATTACAGAGATTAGTGACACTAATAAAGATGTGAAAGAAGCAGGAATGATGAAACCTATCTCACGCCAATTTTTTCTTTTTTTTTATCCTCACCTGAGGACATTTTTCCATTTTTTGTTCAGATAAAATGGGAGGGAGAGAGAGGAAGTGAGATCGACGTGAAAGGGGCACATCGAGTGGCTGCTCTACCTGCACAACCCAACCAGGGCCAGGGACAGACTGCAACTGAGGTACACGCCCTTAGCGGGAACCAAACCCAGGTCTCTCTGGACTGCAGGCCGACACTCTAACCGCTGAGCCAAACTGGCCAGGGCTCTCATGCCAATGTAACTTGCCTGTTTGTCCTGTGAAGAAGGTGGGTGGATTTTGGAGAATGACTTCACAGTCTTGCCCCACGGCTACATCAATTCTCCTGCTCTCTGCCATAATATAGTCCAGAGAGAAATTTAGCATCTGATCTTCCAATCAGCATTGAGTTGGTCCAGTACATTAAATACAACTGATTGAATCTGGGGAGCAGGAAATAGCAAATGGGAAAAGAGTTATCAGAGTCAAATATAATTTATACTTTAAATTTTGAATTGTGAAATTGTTTTAAATTTATCACCTACTTGTATAAAGTAAGTTCTCATCAATAATGACTACCAAGTGATCACTGTTAACTGTCTTGGTGAGGAATTGCATGCAGTCATTTCAATCATAGAACTCTACATTAAAAAATTATATTCATAGCCCTGGCCAGTTTGGCTCAGTGGATAGAGCGTCATCCCGCAGACCAGAGAGGCCTGGGTTCGGTTCCTGCTAAGGGCATGTACCTCGGTTGCAGCCTGTCTCTGGCCCTGGTTGGGGTTGTGTGGGTGGCAGTCACTCGATGTGCCTCTCTCATGTCAATGTTTCTCTCTCTCTTCCTCTCTCCTTCCTGCTCTATCTGAAAATAAATGCAAAAAAAAAAAAAAAAATTATATTCATAGACACAATCAGGTTTTTCATTAAATTTTTAAGAATAGTTTATTTAGAAGCTTATGTAAATTCAATATTTATTATCATCCTTAATATGTTTATCTTATTTTTCTCATTACAATTATATTATATAAAGAAAACTTTTTTCACCAAGCCCATACAGCTGCCTTCAAATCCCCATTAATTTATCCCAGTGTGCTATACAAATATCACCATTTCTATGGATGTCATGATATCAAAAAAAGGTTGAGAAGTACTGCTTTAAACTTTACATCGGGATTCTTAACCTGGGGCCCCTAGATGGATTTTAGTGAATGTATGAAATATGCAAGTGTATCTTTCTGGAGAGATGGTTAATAGTTTTCATCAGGTTCTCAAAGCTTAAAAACCAGTTTATTTCAGGAATTTCAGAAGTTCCCCTATAATTTCACCACCCCCAACTCTCGAAAGAAGTAGTGATAGAAATTATAAGGGTTAATTGAACTCCAACAGCACATATAGGTCTCCATTATCATAGGTAGGAAGAATAAACGTGCTGTAAGTGGAACTAAGAGGACTTTTATCTCTTTGGCTCACTCTTGTGTGAATTCTGTTCTTGGTCTCTCTCTTCTTGAATTCAACCAGCATAGTAAGAGGATTCTAGGATTTTTCTTTCTTTCTTTTTTTTTCAAGAGAACAAATCCATTTTATTTACTTTTCAATAAACTTAAATCCTTGAGGGGTACAGCATTACACGGATTCTGTGTCCAATGGGCCTTAGCTTCAGAATTTAGCACGAACCATGCCAGTAGTTCCATGAGCACGAGTTACCTTTCCCCAGATTATTCTGGTTTTGTTTGGTTTGCCATCAGGAGTCACTGTGTTGTTCTTTGCTTTGTACACATAAGCAAATCTCTTGTCCAGATAGAAATCAGTTTCATCGCGAGCATATACACCTTCAATTTTAAGAAGAGCTGTGTGTTCCCTCCGGTTCCGGAGACCCTGCTTATAACCGGCAAAAATGGCCTTGGACCACAGCCTTCCAGACATATTTGTCCTTATAGAAGTCCTGTTCCCAGCAGGCCTCCGCAGGGTCCAAGATGGCGGAAAAAGCTAAGATTTTTCTATTTGAAGCAGAGACCTCCTCCCTCAGGTCACTCGAAGACCAAGTAGGACCCAGGGTGGAGCCCAGGGAAAGAATGTATTAATGGGGCAGAGAGCATAGATTTCAAATGCTCACATGTGATCCAGCTCAATTCACAAAACAGCTATATTGGGATCTGCAGCCAAAGCTTGAAAGCCAATGTCATAAAGCCTACATTTGCCTAAACCTTCTCCTGTGTTTCTAAAACACTTTGTACACATATCTAGACTTCTTCTATATATGTATCTCCCTTGAGGCCTACCAGTGGTGACCAAAGCCACAGTACCACTAAACCATGCTGTCATTATTTGATGTGGTTATCCCTGCTAACAGGCCATGAGCCTGTTATGAGAGGTTTAGATAGACTCTTTGCTCTTAAAACAGTGTCTCTAGCATATAATACACATTTAATATTTTCTCAATAAGTGTGAATAAATTAAAGAA